TGTCATTCGTACGTCTAGTCCAAACACAACAATAGACCTCCACATTGCTTCACCCGCTGTCTTTCGGTCAGGTTATTGTCAGAATTGAAAGCTTTGATTCAGAAGCCTAATCGTTTTCCTGCTTAGCTTCAATATACATAAGCTGAAAGTGAATGAAAACTCAATCAGTCGTCGCGCAGGATAATCAACAACTTATTTGCAATTCACCAACATCGTCAGTAGCTTATCACTACGTGATTTACATATTCTGAAACCTCGTCAACCTCGCAATCTGGGGGCGTACAACGTGCGAACTCCACTACAGGTTGTTCAACAAGCGTGTCTCCTTTGTACAGTGAACAAATTGTAAATTGATGTCTACGAATTCAGGATCCCAGTAGTAGAAGTTACCCGAGTGCGCCGGGTCTGTCCCTCACAAATCAGGAGACAATGAATTTCGCCCATTGGGTCAGCGCGTAGTAGGAAGTGTACTAAGCAGTGAGGCCGAGGCTTCATTGATGAATTGGATACTCATCAATGGTCCTTTGTACGCAATAGTGCTCCTGTGTTCAGTAAGTGTTCGAATATTATAATGCTGATAGGTGATTTTAAAGCGCCGGTTGGAAAATTGAACGCACCGGAAGCCTGTCTACGATGGCACCTCACTCGACCCACCCAGTGAACAGACAACGGTGATCGCCTACTTCAGTTTCTGTGCAGATCATCGATTGTTCTTATCTAACACCAACTTTCGACAGTTCCTGTCGGACGGCAAGTTGATCCAAATTGACCACATCGCTGTAAGCTATTGTTGACGTGGTTCACTAAAAAATTTGCAGATCCTATTGGACTACCTGCGTTGAGTCTGACCCCGCACTAGTTCTGATGAGCTTCACGCTTTGACATATCGATCATCGGCCAAAATCGCTTCTTCAGTTGACTCACTATCGTCTGCCCGATCCAACTGTTTTGCGCACGTTATCAGGAGAAACTAAGATGGGCGTGACCTGGTGGAGTAGGTCAAATTAGATATACAATGCCTTCGACAGTGAACCTTAATTGTGGAGTTAAACCCAAAGTTCTTCGGTGTGACTGAATCTTTCAACAGTTAGTAGTCCTGATGGAACAAAAGCGGAAGATCCCGATATACCGGAATTGAAATAAGAACGGGTAGCGTCGGTAATGTAAGCTCAGAAAAAGCCTTAAGAAAGATCGTGAAAACTGGTGGACCAAAGTAGCTAGTGAAATAGAAGTAGAGAACAGTCAAAAACTGTTTCACCGGACCCGCAGCACCGGACGCCGCCGCATATCGGTCAGTGTTACGCTTCGCGAAATCAGCTTTCAAACGTCTAATTCTAACTCTTCAACCGCCGACCTGCCAAAATCAGAAGCCAACAATATCAACGTGAAAGTTGTATTTGAGGCCATACAAATGCGTTCTAATTCAGGGGAAAATGATCGCGGCATCAGAACGTTCAAGGGCGGAGATGTCCAATAAGATTAGGCGAATTGAGGAGTTCAGTTATTGTTTGTGCATTCCAGCATATTCCACGAAATCTCTTGAATCTTCGATAGATCCCTTTTGGTTGCTTTCATTTTATCTCAGATATACCTGGGTAGAATAGTTTAATGAACAATTCAACTGGCCTGGTGCTAGTGCGATTATTCCGGCAATTGCAGCGGAAAATTCGTGGGCGGTAGCATATGAGGTCCCGATAGAACTAGAGGCACCAGATCGTAATGAAATAGCTAAAATAAGTGAAGGAAACCGGGCCCGATGGGCTTCTTTCCATACTTTTCACGTCGGTGGGGACTCTCTGATTGACTCGATTACTAGTTTACACATGGTATTGGGTCAGAAGAATGTAGCTTTCTATCCTGGGGCGAATCACTGATAATCTCGATCTTCAAGGAGGTGCATACAATGAGTTCGCAAACCACCGTTTCAATTGTCACAAAGGTTAACAACTTTGTGATACTTCACAACCTGACACCCCCAAGAGAGATGAATATTCACGAACAACAAGAAACATTCCGACAAGGTCATGGTTGCATTGAGCAAATCTTCACCCTGAGTCATTCGCACCACACGCACATCGTCGACCAACAACCGTAGCGTTCATTGACTTCAGAGGAGGCTTTGATTCAGTTGATCACGAAGCCCTAATGCGTCCAAACTGTGTGTGGATCATACCACGATGGTGCGGCTGCCGATCTATCACACAAATCGCATAATCGGACTGAGTTCTTGTGGTTCCCGGTGCATTTGTGTACCATTATGGTGATATGACCGCAGCTGTTTCCACTTTTCGGAGACATAAAATGTGCAATATATTTTCAATCTGTTGAAAGATTTTGTGGCTTTCGGAAGTTTGTTTTCCGATACATTGAGAGAATAGATCAATTAGGGAATTCACTTGGAGCTATGACTGATCTACTTGAAAGTATAAAATGTCTTATTTGAATTTGAAATTGCACTGTGTGCTGCCGTAAGCCACCGAGTAACAGATAACAGTAGGACCATCCTCGTCAGTTGACGCATCAGGCTCTTTAGTGGCTATATCTGAGTTGGAATAACATAATTACTTGAGCCTTGGCAACTAGCACTCACTGTTCTGTCTCATATCACGACGAGACTGCATTTAACTTCCTGTTGTTCCCATCCTTCAAATGAATCCCAATATCATTGTTTCTTCTCGAATAAACATATATCGTAACTCTACAGTACCCTCATTAGCAAGTATTCTAGTTAACAAAGTTAANACTTTGTTAACAGTTTTGAGATTCAAATCTTTTTTCATTATTTTTTTATCCCTCGTTCCAACCTGGAATGTAGGCCTCATGCCTACAGAAGTTATTAAGATACAATACAATACAATACCTTGACGTGATGTGATGAACTGTGCACCTCTCCGACCCAACGAACTACACGGATGGCTTTTGTCAAGCCGAAGATTCAATCGCGCATGGAAGGTCGAAGGGTAAAGGTCGGACAAAGTTCAGTTTCCCGGACCCCGGGTTAAGGGTTCGACTGAAATTTGCGTTTGTCGGTAAAAAAAATGGTGGTCCAGTTTAGTTCAGTTTTTACAACCATTAACCATGCACTTTCGTGCACCGGTTGTGGTTGCTGTCTTTT